TTTTTGGCTTTTAGTTAACATACCCCGAAGGAACAAGAAGAATGGTGTCTTAAGTCACACTCTCTAGTAAAATAGTCTTAAAGATACATTAAACCCTAATTCTATAACAGAGAATGCCTTCAAATGGGACTATAGTCATAGGCATAGAGTCTAGAATAGAAATATATTATGTAAGGAATTATGGTTCGATGACCCATATTAATTGACTACATCGCAAACGTTTCCTCTATAACAAATTCCTTGTAAAGTGTTAATGGGGAGGAAAACTGTTGAGCTTGGTTTAGAGATGAATTTTCAGGTTTTGCTGGTACCCATGGGAAGTGAGTTGCTACTGTTTTATAGCCATTCATGACCAGTCACAAGGGAGTTTAGTTCCAGTAGGAAGATCTTCGGAGGGTCCAGGTGGTTGTTTATTTTATATGGAAAGGATTGTTACTTGAGGTGTGATTATACCCTGATCCAAGAACAATCTCCAGTGCATTCATGAATGGAGTTGAACATACAAAAGTGACTATATGAAAACTGGTGACCTAAAGACCTTGGGAAGGGTTCACCTTTCAGACTGGGCATATTATCCCCGGCATAAGTGCCACCAGAGGACATTTATTTCTACAGAATACTCTCAAAAACCAGGGATGTGTGACAACTTAACTTGTTGATGTATAACTACCCCCAGGTGTCATATATTAAGATAATTATAAAAATGTGTGGTTTAAACTTCTTCTACAGTTTCTCCCATAATTAATCTCCAGTTACTCATTGTGGTGAATGACTCATCCCTTAATGTCTGCCTTCCTTTCCTGGTATCACATCAGAATTTACTACTTGTTTTCCATGTCCCTCCAAATAAGCCTCCCAAATTACAGCCATTCGATTAGTATCTGCTGCCAGCAGAAAGAATGCTGTTTTGGCTACAGTGACTGGTGAGTGCCAAATTATCCAACAGCAGAGGCCAATGCTAAGCTCATGACATGGCACCTTTTCCTGGGGATTCCAGCCAGACCCCTCATAAATGTTCATTACATTAGACCCGGTCTATTATGGAGGGGATAATGATTTTTTCTCACAGAATAGAGGCATATCTTGGTAGAGATTTGCCTTCCAACGATAAAACTAACTTACTGGCATCCTATTTAAGACATTACAAAATGTGTTATCCATCAACATGGTATCTCACATGATACTTCTGGCAAATAGCGTACTCTAGACTTACTGCAGTAGATTCATAGCCATAACATTCATTAGTCGCACACTATGGCACGTTGTCTAGAAGAAGGTAGATTGACATACTGTGGGATGGGTTGTTGAGGGTTTATTATGACACCAGCTGGGTGATAATATCGAGAATAGAAGGGATGATGTCCTAGGAAGTATATTCTATGTCTTTGACCAACAGGCGGTTATCTAAAAGCCAGAATGCACTATAATGAAAATGTGAGTGGCCACAATGAATGATGTGCTTAAACATCCACTTAAATATTGTTGCTACCTGCTTCACCAATTTCCAACTTTGATTAGTTAGGAAGTGTTTGTATCCTAAAGGTATTTTCAGGGTGCTACATTCTTAGAAGCAATATTACCAGGCCATTTTGGGCTCCTCATTCTTTGGAACCAATGGTTAGAGAAGGAATCCATACAATTGATTGCAATTATGAAGTGTCAATTTGGCTTATAGTATACAATAAGGACAAAGACGACTATGTATAGAACACACTATGTATAGAGCTCTTTTGATATGTTTCTCTTGCTGAGTACCCCTTGCCAATTGAAAAAGAGAAATCTGAAATATTCAGGTGAGTAAGGACTTACATTCTGTAAGGATAAATGTTGTTCTACCTATCAGTTTAGCAACATTTGCTAGTGAAAGTGCTAAGTGCTATATATTGGCCACCCGAAGCAGATCATTATAATTAATAGAGATCTTGTATCAGCTATTGAAGCACCTTTGTTTTATGCCTACTTTTTTCTCTTTGTACTTTATGTAAATAAAATTGCTGGCTCAAACAATAATGAGACTATGAGTGGCTATTATCAACAATGTTCTAAATAACTCACAAGTAGTTGTGATACCTGCTTCCAGTTCACTATAATGTCCTTTAACCAAGGTAGGTTTTTTTTTCTGTCAGCATTTGAAGTTGTAGTTGGGACTCTTAGCATATTGACATGCTCCCATGATGACACAGTAACTATTGAGAACATGTGTCCCCTGTTTGGGTGATACCCATTTTTTTTTTTTTTAGAATAGAGTTCCAGATCCTTATTCTCAATCTGTCTCAGTCTGAAAAAAAACAAACAAACTCACTGTCAAGTCAATGCTGACTCATATTGAACCCCCGTTGGTTTCTGAGCCTGCAACGGTTCAAAGGAGCAGCCCTGTCCACTCTGGGCATCACTGCTGCTGCTTGAAGTACCTGTGGTGTTGCTTTCAGGATCAGAGCAACAAACCAGAGTATAACATCCTGACAGATGAATGAGTCTACTCCACACTTCGCTGTGGAGCAGAACATCAATTTCTCATGAACAAGTTGAAGCTAAAAAAATGAGAAGATATTCATGAGATTTAAACTTTAGTATATCCCACATGGATTTAAAGACCAACTCAACAATACACTGGGCACACTGAACACTAATGACCAAAGGCCAGAGTGGTTGTAAGAGGACATCAAAGACATCATTCACAAGGAAAATAAAAAGTGATTAAAAAGAGGGGGTTGGAAAAGAAAGGCAAAAATGGACGTCTGCATAGATTCTCACTAGCTCGTTAACTTAGAGTAGCTAATGTTGACAGAGATATTTCAACAAACAACATAGTTATCTATGTCAAGAAATTTGGAAGATAGCAACCTGGTGAGTCAATGGGAAGAATTCTATATTTGTTCCCATCTCAAAGCCTAGCAATCTTAAAAAATGCACAAAGTAACAAATAATGTTGTTAAAATCACACATAAGTAATATTTTGTTGAAAGTATTTTTAAAATGATTGCAGCAACACATTGACAGAACAGAACTTCAAATAGGATTTAGAAAAAGATATAAACTGAGAGATATTATTGCTGATGTCAGCTGGAGACTTTTGACATTTGCTTATGCAAATTATAACAGCATAACAATAATATTGTGCAAAATGAGAATACCAGAGCAATAATTGTGCTTATGTGGAACCTGTACATACAGCATAGATAAATATTCAAACAAAATATGGGGACACTGGTTTAATATCAGGAAGGTGTGTAGATTTATCTTTTACTATCCTTATGAAATCTGTATATGGAGAAGGTAATCTGAGAAGCTAAACTATACTAAGAAGAATGCAGCTTCAGGATTGGAACAAGAGTCATCAATAACCACTGATGTGACAATCTTCTTTGCTCAAAGTTAAAAGAACTAAAAGTACTTAATGATGAAAACCAAACTCAACAACTTTCAGGAAGAACTACCTCTCAATATAAAGAAAACAATACTCCCAACAATGAGACATACAAGCAACAGTATGAAAAACAAAGAAAAGATTGACGTCGTCATGCATTTTGCTGTGCTTGGATCTACAGCCAGTGCCCAGCAAAGCGGTAGTTAAGAAATCAAAGGTCACACTGCACCTGGAAAATCTGTAGGACATCTTTAACATGTTAAAAATAAAAAACTTCACTTTGAGGACCAAAGTGTGGCTGGCCCAATCCAGGGTGTTTTCAAGTGTCTATTATGAATGCAAAAATTGGACAACGATTAAAGAAAACCAAAGAAGAATTGATGCATTTGAGTTACGATGTTGGCGAGTAACATTCCATATACCATGAACCAACGAATCAGTCCTAACATAAGTACCAACAGAATGCTTTTGAGATGCACAGATGATGTGATTTTATCTTATACACTGTACGCATGCCATCACGTGTGATGAGTTCTTGGAAAAGACATCGTATTTTGTAAACCATCAGAGAGAAAGAGGAAGTGCTCCAAGGAGATGGATTGACGCCATGGCTGTGACAACGGGCGCAGAGATAGCAAGGATTAGGAGGTTAGACCAGGATGGGGCACTTTTTGACTTTGTTCTACATGAGGTTGTAGTCAGACCGACTTGAGGTCACCGCACACCACCACCAACACTTATAAAGCAAAGTCAGAACTAGGCTACCAAGACCACAGCCCACAAAAATCTGCTAATTCAAGCATAGTAATTCTTGGAGTTACATATGGCCTTTGGTATACATTTCAATTGTGGTCTATTGTCAAAGTATTTTGCTATATCTGGTTAACAATTTGATACCAAACTTATTTGTTTCAATCTGTATTCAATTTTATGGTTTGTAACGTTTCATGCATTAACATTAAATTTATAGAATTTATATATATTTATACACACATGCACACACACACACACCCTTCAAACTCTGTTTTATAAAAACGTTAGTGTATGGTATAATGTGAAATGTCATTTGTTTTATAAAATATTTTTGAATTGTTGTCACTGTTATTAACATTCAAGAATGATGCTTATCTAAATTTGTTTTGTATTGTCTCCTTTGGTTATAAAATCAAGAAAAACGTTAAGCCTATAAATCAGTGTGGATATCATAATCTTTATATTCACTGCAATATTTAAAATAACAAAGAAGTTACCTCACATTTGGAGATGTGGTAAGATTTGTATGTAAGAGGGTATAGCAAGTGCTTTTTAAGTGGTTAGAACTCTTTAAAATTCTTTAATTATTATAGGAAGAAAATTTGAGCTATTTTAAACTTATTCTGGGATTATATATTTATTTTACAAAATTATCTGTTTTATATAACTTACAAGTTTTTGGAATCAAGTTTTAACACTATTCTCTTGAAATATAACAATTATCCACTATATTTATTGTTAGAATCTCTTTCTTTCTCTCTAACATGATATTCTATTTATACTTGATTAGTCTTCTTGAAGTTTTACCTACTTCATAGGTAAAATTCATAGAAAAATCCCTAATGTGGACTCCGAGCCTGGGAAGGTGAGGCTCGCGGCGCAGGTGAGGGGTCTCCTGGGTCTGCAGTTTGCCGGCCAGGGACTCGGCGAGAAGACGAACTTCAGCTTCACCTCCCCCCCACTGAATCCAGCATGGGGGAGAAATCTGAGAACTCTGGGGCTCCAGAAGAGCTGATGAATGGCTTAAAGATTACAGATCCCCATGAATCCGAAGGTGTTAGCCCTCCCATTTCTCACCTCAAAGATGGGCATTCCCAGAGCAAAGTGCTCCCGGATGTGCCCGCCCAGGCCCTGGAGGAGCCAGGAGAAGAGGAGTGCTTTCATGATTGCAGCGACTCTTTTGACAAGGGGGAGCCAGGAACAGATAAGGTTGAAGGCAAATCTGATGGTGATGTGAATTCCTCCGAACTAGATGAAGAGTACTTGTTAGAACTGGAAAAGGACATGTCTGATGAAGAGAAACAGAAAAGACGAGAGGAGAGCACCCGGCTGAAGGGAGCGGGAAACGAACAGTTTAAGAAAGGAGATTATGTTGAAGCAGAAAGCTCTTACAGTCGAGCCCTTCACACGTGTCCGGCCTGCTTCCAGACAGACAGGTCTGTTCTGTTTTCAAATAGAGCTGCTGCAAGGATGAAACAGGACAAGAAGGAGATGGCTCTCGGTGACTGCAGCAAAGCAATTCAGTTAAATCCCAGCTACATTAGGGCAATACTGAGGAGAGCCGAGTTGTACGAGAAGACAGACAAACTGGATGAAGCCTTGGAAGACTATAAATCTATATTAGAAAAAGATCCATCCATACATCAAGCAAGAGAAGCTTGTATGAGATTGCCTAAACAAATTGAAGAACGGAATGAAAAGCTAAAGGAAGAGATGTTAGGTAAACTAAAAGATCTTGGGAACTTGGTTCTCCGGCCTTTTGGACTCTCCACAGAAAACTTCCAGATCAAGCAGGATTCCTCTACTGGCTCATATTCGGTCAATTTTGTTCAAAATCGAAATAACAACAGATAATAAGAGTTACTGAAAGGTTTAAAGAGCTGGCTTAGAGATTGTGTGCCGCTTGCTGTTAGCGAGGGGAAAGGCCCTACCAGTGTTTAACTCTAAAAAGCATCTTATCTACAAGGAAGGCCACCCAGTAGAACCCCGTGTCCTCCTCCCATGTGTTTTATGATGGGGTGAAATACACTGACAGGTGTAAGGGGCCTAATTTGATTTCCATGTCAGGCACTGCCTGGCAGCTCTTACCGCCCCTGGGTCTGGCTTCATGTCCTTAGTTTTGTCCAGGGGGAAGCCTGCTGGCAAGCCCGGCCTCCCTAAGTCACACACACAGCAGGTTGCTGGGTCAAGCCTCGCCAATCTCTCCCGAGTCAGGCACTGCTGGTAGGGAGACTATTAATGAGGCCCCCACCTGCTGCCCCCTCCCTGGAAACATCACATGCTGCCTCAGCTGCCGGGAGCGGCCTCCCCTGCTCTTGTTCTCTTCGTGGTAATAAAGCTTTCTGTGACAGGCTCGCTATGAAAAAAAAAAAAAAAGAAAAATCCCTAATGTTTCTTTGTTTTCTGATTCATTAACTTCAACTATTATTTTTTATTGTTTTCTACTCTTCTTTTCCTTAGGGGTTACCTGTTATTATTTTTTTAATTTTCAGGGAAAAGCTCATTTATTTCTAATAGTTATTTTAAAATAAATATTGGCATCTCAGTCTATTGATTTCCCTTTAATTTACCATTTTATTTATATCCTACAGTTATTATGTGGGCTGGTTTCTGTTTCTCAGATGTAAATATTATTGAATTTAAACTATGATTTCTATTCTGATAATAGAAATATGTGTGCTTTTTTCCAAATAATTTCCTCAAGATAAGCAATGCATTGACAATTGTTTAAATATTTATGGAATTTCTGCAGTGAAGGATGGATCTGTTCATCATTAATATGCTAGATCTCTGATATCCTAATATTTTGTAAAAGGCAAAAAAAGTATAATATTTTCCTTTGTAGCTTACATTGTTTTTTAAATAGCCAAAACTAGGAGTGGAAAATGTTTTATATTTATTTTTTGCCTGCTGTAATTCAGACAAGGAGCTCTGGTGGGACCATGGGTTAAACATTGGGCTGGTAATTGTAAGGCTGTTGGTTCAAACTCACCAGGTTCTCTGAAGGAGCAAGATGGACCACTTTGCTCCCCAAAGATTCACAGACTCAGAAACCCTGTGTAGGGTCACAGGAGTTAAAATAGACTTAATGGCAGTAATTCAGTTTGGGACACTTCAAAGGCTACATATGTTGCCTGATTAGTCCTTTGTAAACCTCAAAAGTAAATATTATTGCTAGTTTTAGGAATGATGGATAATTGCTCCTAGTCCCCTAGTGTTCACATATGTATCTGCCAATTTTTTAAAGCATGTGCTAGTATTTTTTAATCACTCTAACCTGGTCCTCTGACGACTAACCTAATAGAACACATATATTTTTAATGAGTTGTAAGAAAATTTAGAAAACTAATTTATGCAAATAGGTATAATCTAAAAAAGATCAAAATAATGAGACTGCTGCATGATTGAAAAACGCTGGCCTTAATAAGTACCGTAAACTAGAGCTAGTTACCCAAGAATAAAATCAAAACTAGAAAGGATAGAGATGATGCAAAATGTGAAACCAGCTTATAAAATACGTTTTAAAATTAAATTCTTAGGATTAAATGGTACATGTAAAACCTCACTCATTACAATAATTTATAAATTTTTAAATTAATCATTTTATTGGGGGGGGCTCTTACAAATCTTATGACAATCCATCATTCAATTGTATTAAGTACACTTGTACTTATGTTGCCATCAACATTTCCAAAACATTTTCTTTCTACTTGAGCCCTTGGTATCAGCTCCTCTTTTTCCCCTCCCTCCCCTCCCCTCCCACCTTCATGAAACCTTGATCAATTATATATTATTGTTGCTATTTAGTGCCTTACACTGTCTGCTGTCTCCTTTCACCTACATTTCTGTTGTTTTTTCCCCTGAGGTGTGGGCTATATATCCAACCTTGGGATGGGTTCTCCCTTTCTCCCTGTTTCCCCTACCCTCAGCCCTACCAGCCCTACTCCCTTATAATATCACTACCCCCACTTTGTTCCTGAGAGTCTTATCTGTCCTGAATTCTATGTGTTGCTAGCTCTTATCTGTACCAATGTGTGTACTCTGGCCTAACCGGATTTTTTTTTCTAGCCGTATTTGTAAGGATTTATAATAATTTATGAATTTTTGAAAAATAATTACTAGTCCTAGAATTTTATTCCAGCTGTAGATGAAGATATAAATTAATATGGGCACTGAAAATATTTATCCCTCTTAGTCTTAATTTTCATCATGATAAATTTGCATTTCATGCTCTCTTAAAAGAAAACAAATTGGCAGTTTTATTTATTTTTTAAATGGCACTACACTGGACAAAACAATATGTACTATGAGAAGTAGGTTTTGGCATTTATCCAGAGGCTTCAAGCAGCTTCAGAGGAAATATAATAACAAAATATGGAATTTTTTCATGAGCTTTTTGGAGCTTCTTCATATTTGTCTTTTTGGCCTAGTACTCTCTGCTCTGATGCACAAACCCATTCTTTCTTATTCCCCTACATTTCAGTATTTTTATTTTAAAGAAGATTCTTAAAACATCACCCATATATACTTGAGTATAAGCTGACCTGAATTTCAACCGAGGCACCTAATTTCACCACAAAAACTGCATAAAAAATGTGCTGAAAAAACTCAGCTTATACACGAATATATACAGTAAGACAACTAATCAACCCCACATACTGAGTAAGGCTATAATGGAAGAGGACTGATTTTTTCCTACTTTGTGATAATCTATTTATTTCTTTATGGCTTAGAGTTTCATGTATTGCTTAAGAATTGATTTTTCCTTCTATGCCCATATGATTCAATTCAACAAGTGGTACATGGCCAAATTTTGTATTGTAATGTTACCACATTGCAGTACTGTGAGCCTGTTGGTAGATAAAGCCTGAAGGCTAAAGTCTGAGGCAAGCAGCCCTGTCAATCTGTGTATGTGAGTATCCGGGATCACTCTGATAGTGGGGATAAGCAGGTAAACAGCTTATAACTCAAAGAAAGGCACTTTGGACACACCGTGTCTAGATAAGCAAGTGAACATTTGTGAATCTTATCTAAGTCATAGAGAGAGAAGTAGTTATTTGTTTTAAGATGTTTTATTTTTCCCCAGCAAACAAAGGATGGGTGAGATCTTTAACCATAGCTGTTTTAGGTGACATTGAGTGAGGCCTGACCCACAGTGACCTTACACATGACAAAACAAAACACTACCTGGTTCTTCACCAGCCTCCTAACTGTTCCTTTGCTCGAGCGCATTGTTGCAGCCAGTGTGTCAATCCATCTCCTTGGGTGTTGTGCTCTTTTTCGCTTCCCTTCCACTTTACCAAGGAGGCTGTCGTTCTCCAGGGACTTGTTTCTTCTGACGTGTCCCTAGCAAGGAAGAAAAGTCTCTCCATCCTTGCCTCTGAGAACTCTGACCATACTTCTTCCAAGATAGATCAGTTTGTCGTTCTCCATCACCACAATTGAAATGCTTCTATTCCTCTTTGGTTTTCTTTATTCAACGTCCAACTTTTCACATACATAATAGAAAATGGAAAGTACTGTGGCTTGGTCAGGAGCAGTTTAGTTTTCAAAGTAACTTTCTTGCTTTTCGGTGCTTTGAAGAGATCTCATGTAGCAGATTTGCCCAGAGTGCAATGCATCTTTTAATCCCTTGACTGCTGCTTCCGTGAGCATTGATTGTGGAGTCAAGCAAGAAAAACATCCCTTAAAACGTCAACCTTTCTCCATTTATCATGATCTTATCGAATACCCTCGATCTTCAGCAAGTGCGCTCAGACAAATGCTCAGGATCATAGGGGGTCAGGTAAAATCAACATGAAACCACCCAGACAACTGGTGCACCCAAGGAAGCGGGTAACTCTGTGCTAAGTGGAAGTTTGCTCTGCTGTTAGTGGCTCTTCACTTGACTCTGATTCTCGGTGGCCTCTTGTGTGCAGAGTTGAACTGCTCCACAGCATTTTCAAAGTCGTAACCTTCCTGAAGCACATCGCAGTCCTGCTCTCCAAGGTGTCTGTGGGTGGACCCCCAGCTATGAGCTAGAAGTGGGGATTTCAAATGCCTGTGCCATCTCGTTCCTCCTGCTCCTACCCGAGGCCTTGGCCACGTTGGCAGAATTGGGAATTTTATTGTATTGTGATTTGTCTTCTTGACAAATTTCCCTTCTAACCTTAGCACAGCTGTGTCTACTGTATTTTATACTTTCCACTCATGAAACTCTCTTAATTATTGATTTCAAACATGCCCAAATCTAAACATTTAGACCTATATTCTGAGTTTCTGTCAATTGTCTACTTGACAGTTCCACTTGGATATTGAGAAAGCATCTCAAATTGTCATGCTAGCATCTGAACACATGACCTCCCCAAGTCAGCATACTGTGGCTCCAACGAGAGTCAGGCTAGTCACCTTTGACACCCCCTGCACTCTTCAAAACAATTTTCCTTTAGGACAAGAGCCATGTCTGAATTGCTTTACTACTTCATCTCAGTGTACAAAAAAGGGCTTGGTCCAGGCTTAGATGTCCTGAAAATAATTTAACAACAAATTATTGGTAGCATGAACTTGGCAATCAATCTTCAGCTTATACCCTGACTGCGTGATTTATCAGCTGAATTTAAAATTCCTATTCAGTTTTAGTCTCTAAAATGAGTAAACATATTATCTACTTTGTAGATTTTAGAAATTATCAAATTAAGTGATAGTCATGAAGTATTTTGTAGCTGGTAAGCACCCAAAAAGTGTTGGTTATTTATTGAGGAAAAGAAAATCACAAAACTGTGATGACCCTAGCTGTAAGTGGTTTGTTTTCTGTATTTCCATGCTCTAATTACCTAAGCTATTGAAAAATTCTCAAATCCCGATTGGCCTCTCCTCAAAAGTCTAATGCCTTAATGTTTTTTTTCAAGTAAGCTGGTATAAAGAATGTCTATGTATTAATATGGAAAGTTGGTTTCAAAAAATTTATAAGTAGTTTGAAGTTGTTAATTCATCCTATAGAATTATTTTTCTTCATTGGGAAGTAAAACATTGTTGGCTTGCTTCCTGTGTAAAATTATATGGATTTCTCATCTGAGAGTATAATATTTGTGCATACGAGGAGGTACCCAATAAAACCAGAATATTTTTCAAAGCTATATATTTAAATTTTTAAAATAAAACAACCTGATCACCTTCAAAGTACTCTCCCTTCCAGTTGTCAAAACTGTGATTCCATTCTTGGAAAATATTTTCACATTCATCTGTTTGGACAGCTGACAACACCTCCCTAGTTTTTTTCTTCACCTTTTCTGTATCCTCATATCACTATCTTTTCAGGTCTTTCTTCATTCGTGAAAACAAAAAGAAGTTGCATGGAGCAAGGTCAGGTGAGT